CACTTCAGTAATCCAACTTTTTTATGTTAGCTGCAGGTCAGAGAGGTCAAGCTGGATTAATCAGCAGTGTTGACGATTCTGCTGTAGTTAGTGAGTGTGAGTGTCAGTGATGAGAGGATGTAGAGCAGCAAACTTCCAAATTTCCAGTTTTGTTCATTCGTCCGGTTTGTGTGAAAACATAATTTCCTGTCTGGTCTTTAGGGCAACACTGTTGGCAATACAGGAAGAAGATTACTGGTTTGAACCCTGGTGCTAACTGATGGTCACTCTGAGTGTTTTTTTCTTTTTCTTTTTTTCTTTTTTTTTTTTTGCCCTTGCCTTTCGATGGTTTCATCTGAATACTACAGTTTGCTGCCCGTTCCAAACACATGAATATGGGTATGAGTGTAAGAAGTAATGGTTGTTGTTCTTGTTGATTTTATGCAAGTATGTATGGATGAAAAATATGTACAGGCTTCTTGGACATGTTTACTGGTGAATATTCAATCTTGCCTAGTCCTCTGTCGTGCACCTGCATGGTATTTCCCGAGTTCTACCTGCAGGGGGACGGGGCTATAATCAGCAGCCAGCTGTTTCAATCTGGTTCCCTGTTGGCGGTGGTGACGGTGCTGCAGATCCAAAGCCCTGAAGTTGCAGAGAGCAGTAATCAATCTGACAACATCTACCAGTGTAAGCACAAATCTGTTCTATTCTCTTATGTTTTCTTTCAACTGTTTCTCCAAATGAGGTTGTTTTGGTGGAAGAGCCCACAGAACTTGTCTCCACCATTAGGTGGCGTACAGGCCTTATGCCAGTGTGCTGATAATTTGGCTGAAAAGGGCAAGTAAGAATGTGTAGTTGTGAAATGTTGAGGTGGAAAAACACTAAGTTGTGAATGTTTTATGTACCGCTGCAACGCCAATGCAGTACTCCGTTGCGAAAGAGCAATATTTTGATGTAGTTTGTGTTTATGATGCTCTGGTGTGTAAACATCAACAGTGATGTTCACAGAAAGGCGTAAGAACCCGTTCGGCTTCACTTGGTCGTCATGAAAAGAGGATGTTTATAAATCCTGGATCCATCTCTGCTGGTTTTTGTTGCCGTGCTGCGCGGCAGAAGCGCACAAAGCAGCCGGTCCATTTTCCTGCTCCACATTGCGGTCTCTGGTGCACCGTAAATAATGTTGATAAAGACGCAGCCGAAAACGACTTTCACGCGTCCCCCCAATTGATTTTACTTGACCTCCGTTCTCCAAATGATATTGGAAGCCTATTTAAACAGATGAAGGCTTAAATTGTCTTTCTTGTATGCGCATTAATCTCCCATTCATCATCATTACTGCGTGATTGCTGCGTACACGCCTCCCCCCCCCCTTGCCTTTCGACAAGGGCCTGTAAATTAGGATGTAATCCAATTTAAACAGCAGTGGCAGCAGCCACACATCCATTTTTTCTTGTTGAATGTGCTGTCGGTGGACAGCTGCACTGCACCGCCCCTGTCTGTCAGGACGCTTTGTGCCAGTTGTTGGAGCTGGAGATCACTCAGCCAATTCAAACTAATAGGATCCTATAAGGCTGACGTAATTGCTGCGATCTATGAGCACATTTCATCTGCAGCCGCAGTCACTTGCAATCTTCCTGCGATTAAAGGCCGTGCTGGGGCTGAATGAGGCCGCAGAGGATTGAGTCTGATACAGAACAGTCCAGGTCTGAACTGCCGGCCCTTCAAACCTGATGTTGTTCTTTTGAGCGTGTTAAACACTGCAGTATTTATCTGATGGCTGTTGTTGACGCTGTGCAGACAGAAACGACAGCATTCTGCACAGAAAATAAACCCTAATATCCCAAGGTCATAATTATTATCCTCCTTAACAACAAAAACAACTGCATAATATAGTTTTTGATCTGTCTATTCATATAATGAAGCTGGTTTGTTAAATCCATATTCTGTGTAATCTCATCTGGCGCAAATGTCATAGTATAGCAGTAATTTAAAGACACTAATAATTTGTCCTCTATCTGGAGGCTGTTTTGTTATTTTGTTGGGTTTTTTTATCAGTGAGGGCGGGGTTCATTCGTATATAAATGCTGTTCCTCTCAGACGTGGTTCTGGTCCAGTCTTTATGGTAGGGTTGGAGTAGGTTTAGCCAAATGAGGATTGATCCAAGAGCTGCTTCTGAATGTTCAGCTCAGCCACTGGATCCGCTCATATTTTTATCGTATAATAAACGAGTCCACGATGTCCCCCCGTGCCCCGCGTCCCCATCAGGCTTAAAGACTGCGTCTGATAGTTTACATAAATCTGCCTGCTGCTGTTGCCCCGACCCGTGCGTCTTAAACGGTGTATTATTCCAAACATATGCATTTTAATCAGCTCGGTCACACTTACAAGAAGTGCAGTTAATAAGGCCATCAATCAAACGCTGGAGAGGGAGGGAGGGAGGGAGAGAGAGAGGGAGGCAGGGAGAGAGGGGGAGAGCTCATCTGTGTTTGTGTGTCGCTGTGTTATCAGGACGAATCTCTTCACCTCAGAATGAGTCAAAGAGACTTCGTTGCTCTGCTGTCTGCCTTTTCACGTGAAATGTGCAACCTTGCATGTTACAGCTGTCATATTTGGGCCGCGATCCATGTGTTTATCAGGTTTATTTCACAGTAAAATAAAAACAGTGATGTCTAGATATTGTTTTTCATCGCTGCTAATACGATTTTCGACTATTCGGGTAGTCATCCAGGAATTAATGAAAATGTCCACAAACCTTTAAAAAAGCATAAAGATATAATTATCTCGTTTTCACTTTACTTCCGGTGGATGATAGAACTTTTTTACTCTTTAAATGTATATAAAAAATCCGCTTAAACCGTTTAAATAATAAAAACAAACGGTTAATGCTATTAAATCTTTTGTATTATATATGTAACTATCGGGTTACCAAAATTAAATTTGTTTTATATGTGAATGGTAAAGTAAAAAATAATGTAATTTAATAGAGACCTTAATAAGACCTGGATCTAAATACTGAATTACTGGAACACTATTAAAATCCATAGAGTTCCTTTAACCTTGCCATGTTTTTTCTCTTCAAATCATTGTATGTCAACAATATAATGTCATTTTATTTCTACGCAGTGATTTAACTAACAGTTGAATATATACAGCAAAGACAATATATTTTCATTGTTATGTGCAGTTTTTTAACGTATTGTTTCCCTCTTCTTGGCACCAAATTGAAATATTTTGATCTGGAGACATGTGACATATAATTCCTGTAATAATTTTAACCACGTTTTTTAGCATCTTCAGATAATGTGTGTCCAAACCGATGGTTCCTTAAAATTATTAATATTTAAAAAATAACAATCAATGTTTGTTTATTGCTTTGCTCAAGGGCAGTATAAATTGCTTTTAAGGGCAATTTTCTGCACATAATACAACAATAACATCCCATTTGTCGCGTGTTTTCACCAATCACACTCAGAAACACTACAGTGTGATTTGCTCGAACCCGCAACAATAACACATTAGGAGGAAACACTGGATCAAAGCCTGATGGATGACGAAGCTGCTGCTGCTGAGACTGTTAACGTTTCACTCACTCCACTTTAACCAACCCCTCTGTCCTACATCAGCCCCCCGCCCCCCCCCCCCCCCCCCCTCCAGTATCAAATTTGGCCAATTACCATCGCGGCCTAACGTTGGCACGTCCTTCTGACGCATCGATCTCACTACATTCCTAATGTCTCCAGACATGTAATTCTGTGGCGTCTATTAGTGATGGTTATAGAAAATGTGAGTGTTGGCGTGTTTTTATAAAGCTGCCCGGGGACCACTTATCTGTCACGGTCAATCTGACGGTGGAATGAGCAGAGATGGAGTTTAGAAGTCGGCCACTTGAGGGGAAAATGAATGTGGTTGTGAGAGGAGGATAACAAAACAAAACAAAACCAAGAATTCAATGCCATGAGATTTACACAGAACATATCCAAACATCGACGTGTTGGAGACACAGACCATCTGAAGCTCTGCGTTCATTCCTTCACTGCGTTTATTTGGAAATGATAGACATTGAGGACAAAAATGAGAATAAAAAAATCAAATAAAAATAAACAGATATCAATCATAATGGTTATTCTCAGTTCGAAATGTCGCAAACTATAGAGCCGCTGTCGCAGTGCAAAGCAGGAGAGTCCAGAGGCCCGTGGGAGAAAACCGGGGAGAAAGGTGGAAGAGAAAGTGGGTAATGTTCCTAAAAAATATGAGGGAGCCACTTTTTATTTCTTTCATTTTTTTTTGATTGTCCTCCCTTTGCCTTTTTCTTCATCCACTGTGCACCTCTTCTTCCTCCTCCTCCTCCTTTTCTGCCTCCTTGTCTTGTAGTAATTCGTTCCCTTGGCGCCTTGTTACATTTTGGCAGCAACGATCCCTTCCTTCCTTCCCTTGTTTCCTCTCTGATATTACCATTAATCCAACAGTCAAAATTCACCCGGCTCGTACATATACATCACATACTAATTTCACTAGCATCTGCACATTTCGGGGGCCCCGGCCGTGTGGGGCCCCTGCCGCTGTGGAGAGCAGGTTATAATGAGACGCGGCCGCAGTCAGTTAACAACTCCCCCTTGTTAAAAAGAGAAATGGAACGCGTCCTTCTAACTCTTATGTGGATGTGGACGCGTAAAGATGCAAGTGATGATAAAAAAAAGAACAAAAAACATCCATCGAGGACATTTAAACGTCTCTTCCCTTCAACTGTAACACGTGACTTTATTCGTCTTTAGAAAAAAGAGTCCAGAATCCTGGTCTGGTTCTGTGTTTGGATTATTATTGTCTGTGATGGAAGAATTGTTTCATCGTAGCTGATGATAATCTCGGCCCGTGATAAGCTGGCTCTTACTGCTAACAGGCTACACCTCTTCATGCTGCTTCATTCCTCATCATAGACTATGTTAGGTTAAAAAGCTGAAGGTAAAGGCTGATATAGAACAGGAGTTTTTTTTTTAGTTTTTTTTTTATATGTTTCAGGGTTTTATCTGGTCAGAGACACTTCCTCCCTCTGGTCCAGTGTCACAGGTGAGGATTTGCTGAGCACCGAAGGCGTGAAAGTGACAAAAGCGTCAGTTCTGCTGGTTGGAGAGCAGCCGAAGTCTGTGGCGGGGGGCCTGCTGGACAGACCGTTGGACTGACTGGAGTGACAGGCCAAGCAAGAACAGGGAGTTCCCCCAGGTCCGAGGCCGTGGGTCGGCCCCGTGTACAGTGATGGATGTCTGAAGGCGCACAGCAGCTCCGGCCTCTGGTAGGGATGAGACAGCATCCGGAAACTGTCGAGGGAGCGCAGCGGGTTGGAGAAAGGGGCGGCGGTCGGAGTCGAACCTGCTCCGATGCCTAGGTGGGAGTAGTACGGCAGAGGCAGGTGGGATGGGAAAGGGTAGGGCAGGTTGCCCGTGGCCGCGGCGTGGCTCATCATGTACGTGTAAAAGGCCGGGTCCGCAGGGTGAGGCCACGTCATGGCCAGACGCTGACGCTTGTCCTTCATCCTGCGGTTCTGGAACCACACCTGGTACGGAGACACAGCGGGTCAAATATTAACCTCCTCAAAGTTTCCTTTATAGAAAGACAAACTAGTTAAAGCACAGACGCGTGTGCGCACGGACGCGCGCAAACGGTTCCGCTTTTACGCATGGAATTTGGACAAGGTGGATTTGAAAGTGCTGATGGAAATCCTGCATTTAGTCTAGAATATAATTCAAATAGATGTTTAATTAATATAGATTTTCCTGCATGTTATTTTTGACTATTCCTGTTGATGTTTTTCCTCTGTTTTTATTTTCAAACCACTCTTCAGAGTCAGTTTTTTTTTTCTAAATCCCCCAGCATCTTTTCAGATTCGGTGTCTGTTGACGTCAGAACATCCGAGGCCTGACTCTGATGCTCATCTCACCTTGATGGTGGTTTCAGGCAGATTCAGCGCCGCTGCCAGTTCGCATCTCCTCGGCCTGGACACGTAGTTCTCCCGGTAAAACTCCTTCTCCAGGCGTGCGATCTGCTCCCGTGTGAACGCAGTCCGGTACCGACGAATCTGGTCGGCTGTGTAGGACAGAGAGCCCTGCCCAGGCACAGTCTTACCGGGGTCAGAGCCAGAGTCTCCTCGGTGACCCGGAGAATCTCCATTCCTGCCTTAAAGGAGATGCAAAAAATACGAATAATTAGTATGTCACGTCACGTGCAAATGGAACAAATGACATTCGTTTTAATCCTAGAATAATAAAAATACTAAGATGTGATCAAATCGGACACCTGACATTACATTTCTTTACTAGCTAAAATGGCTACACTGATTTTGGGGGATTTAAATATTAAAGGGCCTGAAGCTCCGGTCCTTTAATTTTTTTTTCAAAGTTAAATCTAGACTTTAAAATGTCTCTTTGGCCTTGAACAATTATTTACTAATATAGACACATTTAAAAATTATCCCTGTGCATCCTGATCCATCTCTGCTTCCTTATTATGGTTCTTTTAATTGTTAAAAAATAAATAAAAATATGTATATATATAATTTCGCTGTGAGACATTGCGTTTGACTATTTTTTATTTTTAGAAGTATTTTTTTGGCTTTAATTTCTATGTGATGCATTTGATATTAATGGTAAACAGAGGCGCCCGGTCAATGCACCAAAGTTGTATTATTCCACCGTTAATGGCCTTTATTTTCATGGATAAAAAAACACACACCACGCTCCTGCTTCATACAGTCACACACACATGCACACACGCTGTCGGAGAATGTCCTGCAGAGACTGAGATACAGAGGGATCTGGTCAAAGTGTGGCTGTCACCTCAACCTCAGTGGTCAGTTGACACAACAGCTGGACATCAGTGACTGCAGTCACCTTCTCATTTACACCGACTTACATTTTACCCTCATTTGTGCTGTGTTTTTGGTTAAAACTACAGTGGCTGCGTTCTTCTTTGTGTGTAGCCTCATTCTAAAACCATTCAAATATTTTTCCTCCCTAAAAAAATGACAATAACCTGCAGTTTGAATACAGCTTCCCGAACATGCACTCTCCTACCTTTACCACTCGTGTAGTCCATGCCTTCCGGCGTGCAGCTCACGTCAATTTCCTCGTAGAAGTCCGACTCTGTGTCCGAGCTGCTGCCGTCCTTGAGAGGATGATCACTCCGGTGTCTCTCCCCCGTGGAGGATGCGCCAAGTGGCCTCCCGTCGGCGGCGCACATATTCCTGCGTCCGTTCTCTTCAACCACCAGGAGGTCGCTCCTGTCCCGGGAGTAGGGCACCGCCGCCGCCGCTGCAGCTCCGGGACTCAGACAGCCCCTGTGCAGCAGACTCTGCTTCCCCTGCGGCTCCCTCGCGCTGTTCCCGCTCGCGTCCGACAAGCCTGAGGCGTTTTTACCATGCTCAGCTTCCTCCGCCAGCATCACCATCTCCTCTCGTCTTTCCATCACAAGCACCACTTTGGAAAAAAAAGACCCCTCCGACTTTGCAGAGAGTAGAAACCCCTCAAATCCAAGGCGATGCTTTTCAGGTTGGAGGGGTGTGTAAGTGTGTGTGTGTGTGTGTGTGTGTTAGACGATGGGGGGGGGATGCAGGGAGAAGGAGAGGCTTCTGGAAAAGAGGGGGATTCAATCCGGTCTGACCCTGAGTGAGGAGCGATCTGAGTGCGGAGAATAAGTGGCTCTGGGAGGGATCACCATTTAGCCTCTCTCTCTCTCTCTGTGTCCTTCTCCTGAAGCTGTCATTCTTAATAGGCCAGGCGTCATGATGGGTCCCCCCCTGATGACGACACACATTGATTGGATGTATGGGCAAACAGAAGGGGCAATATGGCAGCGTGAGGAGCAGGAGGTGGTGTCAGAGGGTAAAACAAGTGGCAATAAAGCTGGAATATAGAACATCACTGGAAGTCTTCAACTGAACCATGGATCAAATAAACAATCACAGTCGAGTGTGGTGTCCACTGCTTGATTTTTTGTTTTATTTGACGTCACGGTGTCAGTCCATGTTCCAACTTATTACCGATTTTGCCCATTTTAAAAACAAAGGATCGTTTCCTACATGTGCTCCTCTCTTCTCCCTCTCACCCTGGTCCTTCCTGTCTCATCTGTCCTGCCTCTTATTTTTCACCTTAAGTGGAGTCAAGTTGAGTCCTCAGAGGTCAAGCCCTGGTGGTCAGAGTTTAGATAAAAAGCCATTTGACATGAAGTCTTTAAAGTCAACAGAGCATTCAGAGCGGAATGACGGGCGGCAGATACACATCTCAGCCCACTTTGTCTGTCTCTTTTGTGGGGGGGGGGGGGGGGGGGGGGCTGTGACGTGATCGTCCCACAGAGTTGATGTTTTAATTTTTTAAATTATGCAAATTTAAGCAGTGAAACTGGGTCTTGATGAGGGAGATATCTCAGCATAGAGTCCTGGGGTCTGTGGGTTTGTATGGAAATAGTCAATAGAAGGCTGTTAAGATAAACCATGTTTTTGTGCATAAGAAATTAAAAAAAAAAAAAACTACATTTTTGCTATTCTTTTTATTATAGGGGACTGTGTAAACAACATCAATGTAGCAAAAGATGTAGTTTCTTTACAAACGTGTCATGTTTGTAAAACAATTCTGAATTCGAAGGATTGTGTTACTGCAAATAATGTAGATGCCATAGTATTACTCTAGTTTAATGCAGTAATTTAAACATTTCTATTACTTCATTTACTTTGTTACACAGGTAAAAAATTAAGTCTTATGTTTTGGTGAGTGACGCCGAGTTAATTATTATTATTATTATTATTTACCATGCAGTAATACAACCAACTGATTTCCGGATATATTTTTTAAAAAATACTATTATGATAATTATGCTCATCTTCACATTCATATTTTGACTGTGATGCAGGTCAGATGTCCTGCTGTAAGAACACCGCCTCGGATCAAAGACTGACTTCAGATCAGCAGCTGCGGGGCCTCGGTGCACGGCGTGGCGGTTTACTTGAATTAATGATTCTGGATGCTGAGGGGGAGAGGGGAGGGGAGGGGAGTGAAGAGGGGGGAGGCTGCACAAGCAACCGGAGCTGGAGGTAGCCTCTGCTGTCCTTGTGCGCCCTCGCCTGTCCGAAAGTGGGAAAAGACCCCGCAACAGAGTTGCCGCCCCCTCCCCCAACCCGACAACTGAGGTCTGAAGGAAATTCCTTTGGTTTTTCTTGCAGACTTTCATCTGGCCTGCTGTGGAAAATCTCTCTCTCCCTCTCTCTCTCTTTCTCTCTCTCTCTCTCTCTCTCTCTATGTAAAAATATTATTGAATACGTCTTATCTTTGGAGATTGTGGAAGTTTTCTGATTATAATCTGACAGTGTTAATCTCATGTTTGATATGCTGTAGTTCTTGGTAATTTTTTGGACTTTTTGGTTCTTTCTGAAAGAGCAGTCCAGTAAAGTCGGTCTGGTCCACGTTGAGCCCACAGAGGTCAATGAATTACAGAGCTGAAGTGGACTTTTTCTGGTCTACAGAATGTGGACCACATGTACTTTTACATGTAGCCAAATAATAGCAGATTGCAAAGACCATATGCTACATACTAATTTTTTATTATTTTTTTCAGGACCAAATGATGACAGACAGGAGAAAGGTGTGGTTTGTATGACATTCTAACTTCAGGGTCGTATATATTCATTGTCCCCTTTATTTTAATGTGCGAGGTTCAATGAATATACTCACTGAACCTTCAACATACAATTACCAAATAGAGGTCTAATCAACAAAACAATACAGCACTCCTTTGCAGTACTACCATGGACCCCTAGGGGTCACATATCCTCTGTTGAGGACCACCGACATATACCACTGTAGTGTCACTGTCACTGTCACTGTACCTGACTCACTGACCTGTAATGTGTTCTGGCTTTAACACATGATCACAGTAATGACATGACTTATTTATGGGACTATTTCACTTCTTAAATTGTGCTTCAAATCAGATTTATCTTCAGTAGAAGCATCAGGGCTTAACTAAAAATACACTTTTGGAGTGTAATCTAACTTGTATTATGATGAGGTTCAAAGAGTGCGTGGTACAGACGTGACATATAAAAACCTGGACAGACAGTCGGTCAGTACTTCAAGGTTTTAGGCAAAGCTCCATTTAAAAAAAAAATCACATTTTAATCAAATGAACCTTGTTTTTTTTGTTAGCAAATGTATCCTATAAAGAAGGATGGGAGAGGCATCTATCACAAAGAACAACGTCCCCACAGTCGACATACACTAAAATATTACTATAGAAACACATTTTTTTGTTTTGTTTTTATTAAATGGACAAATATTCCAGGATTTTTATTGCCAGTGATTCAAGCTTCATTGAACTCTTTACAGCAAGTTATTTTTTATTTTCTATGTCTATTTCATTTCTTCACATGTTGTTTCTGGATGGAAAATAATGCAAGATTTGAAATAGCTAAGTTAGCATGCTACCAAAATATTATCATCGTGTGGTATTTACTGCTCTGTTGGAGCTGCCCTTCAGCCACCTGTACACTCATACCATTAGTGCTCCTCAGTACAACACCCACGGGTGCCAAAGATCCCAATTGTTTTTATGTCTGCAGTTATGCAACGGGTCGAGTTCAGGGCAGATGGAGATCTTGTGATCATCCGGAGATAACACGTTTGCGCAACGTCTGAACGACCTTGCAGCTTTACAGTAGTGTCACTTATATTGTTGTGTGTTTTAGATAGTGTGCGAGGGCCGGATGGGTTTGCTGATTGTAGCACTTGGTTTTTATTCTCCGTTCATGTGATGGATGACAGGGGAGTGTGGTAGAGGTTTTAAAAACATTTGACTAAAATCTAAAACTAAAGAAAAAAAAACCTTAAACGTGGACTGAAGTTTCAGTAGATCAAAGAGTGGGAGCAGCCCTCCTCGCTCCCCCTACCTTTCCCCTCAAGGCAGACACTGCAGTCTGCGCCCCTTACTTTTTTTTTTTTTAACTAGCCAGCCCAACTTGAACTTGACCATGGAACGTCATGCGCAGTGCGCATGTAATCCAACCCACGGCCCTCTGTGGAACAGAGCTGCCAGAAAGCATACAGAGTACTTTCTTTTCTTTCTTTTTTTTTACTCAAAAACCCACACACATTGTGTTTTAGTGTGTGATGGAAACGCCTGTTGCGCATGAATGGCTCTGGAAGCCGGAGTGAGCCGCTGGCTGAGGTTGCACCGCTTTCCACAGCAGGATTCAGAAGCTGGAGCAGAATTACAATCCAATCTCTCCTTCATTATCGTCACCCCTCCCGTCTCCGCTGCTTCAACTTGGCCTTGAAACGGGATGACGCAGCCGCCGGAGATTTAACTCACTGACCTTGAAAGCGATACGTGTCCCGGTGACTGTACAACTGCAGACGCTCGTATCCGTGCATCCTGCAAAAACCACACACCGTGCTGATATCTGGCCTATTTTTTTAGCCCATTAATGTGGAGCAAACATCACGTGGTCTGTGGCCGACCGCCATCAGGCAACACACACCAGGTGCAAAGCCCTAACGTTTCACTAGACTCTTTGCATCCGTGGCATCAGTGCGAAAGGTGATATTTACAAGTTTGCAAATTCGTTTTTTTATTTTTAGATAGTGTGGGTGTGGATTCAAATGTCTTACTTCAATACTTCATTCTTGTATTGGTCAAGCAGGGTACGGTTTTATCAGTAGTTTAGAAAAAAACAAATAAAAGAAGTTTGGAAAGGTGAACATCGTGGATTTTTTTCACGTGTATTATAATGCGTGGCTCTGACAAGCCTTTGTTGACCAATGTAAAGCATGTCCGGTAAAAGGAGATAACCGTAGAGAAAACGTTGAGTAACTGAGTTGTTACTAACTGTCTGACTCAGTTTAAAAAAAAAAAGTCCAAACCTTGTTCTAACACAGGAGGCAGTGGACCACAGTGAGAACAGATTTTCGTATTCATACCTGAGTTGTTCGTTCCAAATAAATCGAAATGACCTAAATCTAAAAAATACAATGATATTTATGTGCAAGAAAAACTTTAAATATAAAATAAATACGTTATTATACATTTTTAAGGTAGAACGATTTATTTTTGCAGAACTCGCTGTAAAGGAACTCATTATTAGACGTATTTTGATTTAAATGACACAAAAACAGCCCAACTAGTGTATTTTAATAAATGTTGAGTAAATAATTTAATACATGTATGACTTTAAGTTAATAATTTTGACTCTTGGTCATTAAACGCGTCTTACTTTCGCCAAGAGCGAGATAATTTTAACATATTATATTAATGTCATTGGACATTTGTGCCTCCCGTAGAGACGAACCGTATCAGGAACGAAGTTTCGCTGTGGCCATGAATCATCCTCTTGACATCCTGATTATTTTCTGAGCAGACTATTACCTGCAGAACAACATTTAAATACTGGTTATTTCTCTTTTTGCTGGGGGGAACTCTCCATTACAGATTTCTGCACTGTGTATCAGAACTCCCTGTTGCTGTAGGAAGGAGAAACACTCACGGAATGTGTGTGTGTGTGTGTGTATGAGACTGAATGAATTTGTAATGAAACAAATAGCAGGGTTTTATATTTACTCCCGTTTGCCAAATGATTTCTAAATGATTTCACACGCAACTCACAGGGTTTCAGCTTTAGCAGGCCGTAAACGCAGCATTTAAGGCATGAACTGAGGATAAAATCAAAAATATCAGTGCAAAAATCATGCAAAGGGCCAAACAACTCTAAGACCAAATTTATTTATTTAAAAAAAAAAACTTTTATAACTTTTTACGTGTCACCATAAAGTACCAGATTGGACTGCACGTGCTTGCTCTCAACAGCCCCGCCTAAAAACACACTTTTTGCCATTAACGGCAGAAGTTTTACAGCTGATCATAACTTTATATTGACTTTCTTGCCTGCACTTTCAGGCAAAAGTGCAGGCGCTGGTGTTTAGGCGCAGAGAAGGCGGGATAAATGGCGCACTCTCCGTCTTCCTGTCTATATGTGCGTACAATTTATGCCAGTTTAAACAGAGAGGGGATCTTTGGTTTTGACCTTTGCTAAGAGGAGCTGGTAGGATGCAGGTCCCCAGGTCCTGGAAGCAGATTCCTGGAATCCCCAGACATCCTTGAGTTTGACCAGTGGGCTCTTTATGAACTTCAGAATTTGGAATTTCAAGGTGAAGTGTCCAGCGGTTTGACGCTGCAGTTTCTCAGTGTAGCATCGTCGTGGATGACAAGGACGCAGTGTTTTAGTCACGTTTTACACGCCACAAACTAGAACTGAACAGTAGTGTTTATTAAACCACAATATTTATTAATTCCTTGTAAGAATCCAACCAGGAAACAAGACACACGGAAATACACAGGACTAAAAGAATATTTTCATCTTTGCAAGACTTATTAACGGACTAAGGACCAAAAGTCTAATTAGTCGGATTAGGTGTCGGATTAGGCCTATATGAACTCTATGACTATTTTTTTATTATTATTGTTGTTGTTGATTATTGTTATGTTTACCGTAATATCCTGTGGTATGCCACTCCTCCAAAGCGCATTTGATTTTGCACTGCGTTATAATCACACGGTATGTTCGTGTATTATCTTTGTATTTAAGATATGACTTAAACAACGTTTAAACACGCTGTGCTTTGACTTGTGGAAAGCAGCATATAAATCAATTTTACTCACTTACCTTCGTTTTCTCTGTGCGTAATTACGCACACAAAACCCCCGAATATGCTTCAAAAACGCACCCCGAAACTTTAGTTTCAGGAGGAATACTATTTATAATTTAATGTGCATTTAGATATTGTTCATTAGTTATGAATCGATTAACGTCTCTCATTTAGTATATTTAACTGTTACTATTATTACTGAAATAATTGAGCGTATTTAAGATACATTTGTTAAGGATTGTAGTTTTCATCTCGCCCTGCAGTTGTACAGGATTTTTCCCGCCATTAAATAACACTTTAATTGAGAAAAGAAATAGAATTTCTCATAAAAAAAAACACACACACAAATATTTTAAATATTCTTACAAGACAAATACTATATTATAAACTGAAATATTCGACAGGCAGAAAAATCGTAAGTTTGGGTTTCAACGTGTTTAATTCAGCAGTATTTTTTTGTTTTTACTGTTTTATTTCACTAGCATTGGTGACTGTGTTAGACCTGGACGGGATACGAACAGAAGATAAGAGTAAGAAAACTTTAAAATTGAAAGTTGACGTGAAAAAAGTGCTTTATCTGAGGTTTTTGCCCCTTTTGCGAATGTTTTTGTGTGTTTTTCTGGGTGCAGTTAAAGCTGAGAATGTCATAGTTAGTCTTGGAGTTTGTACTTGGAGAAGAACAGCTTCACCTCGTCCCTTTTTCTTCTGTACAGAATGAAACAGTCAGCGCCATCGGTCGTAAACACACACACACACACGATTATCTGTAGAGATCTACATGGTTTTTCACACGTGTCTGTCAGGAAAAACACAGCCGCAGAGATGTGGACATAAAAAAAGGCCAAGAAAAGCGCCGCCGTCAGTGCTTTTGTACCTCCAACGGTTCCTGGTACGCAGCTAGCAGACTATAGTCCGTGAGAATGGAGGGAGAGGGAGGAAAACGGAATGATAGTAAAAGTTAATGTCCTCCAATAGCATTCATTGGGACAGGAATTCTCACCCTTCTTCCTGTCCTTTCAGGCGCTTCAAAGCTTGACCAGAGACACAGGCCGAGCGGCCAGACACAGACTTTCAACTTGACCTTGGCCTCCAGCCGCGTCTGCCTCCTCTGTCAGGACGGCCAGACCCGTCTAAACACACGGCTGTTTGCTGTTGTCTGTCTCTGATTGTAAACAAGACGGAAGTCAGAAAGGGCTGGAATACCCTCCTCTCCCCCTCTCTCACCCACGTGCTCCCGAGGCATTTCCCTTCATATTTTGCCTGTAATCTGATGATGTGGGTTGTGGTCGACTGATATTTTCTAACAGCGACTTTTACTGTCTAATTACAGTCTAATATATGTGTGTGTTTTTAATGTTCAATACCTGTTGGTGTAGGATACACACGGCGAGGCCCACGGTGGTTCCTCCAGCGTGTACTGCGTCAAAAAACAGAAATATCCAACATTGAAATACAGCACGCGTATCTGAAGGTTTACATCCACGCACACTGAAATCCTGTGCAGTAAATGGCGGTGTCGTGATACGAAATGTCGTCAGTGTGCGTCACCCAGGGCCACAGACCTGCAGGGAGTTCATGAGCGCCAAAGTTAGAGCCAAGGTTTATTGAAAAAATCTCTATAGAAACAATAATAACAACTTTTTTATTGTCATTTTTGCACATTCTGGGTAAACATTGAACATCAAGTTATATATAGAAGTCATTGTGGATTCGTCTCATCCTCCTGGATGGTTTTTGGATTAATAATACTTCATGAAAACACTTCACAGTTTTAATTCAGAAAATGTGACAAATCTTATTTTCCGCCAATGTGACCCGTGTACCTTTGTGTATAATCGAGTAGAGCTTTTATTCGACCAAATACACAGATGAATGTTGTTTATTTTTACCTACTAATGAGGGAGAACGTCAATGGTACAGAGGCGGAATTACGGTCCTCTCACTTCGCCGCATTTTTCTCCATTTAATTATCTGCACTGGCTGATGTGCACCGTCCTCTTTGCATAGCCACAGTCACGTGACGGCCGCCGAGCCAATGGCTGAGCCACCTTTGCGCCCTCGGCTGCGCGTCAGAGAGGCTTCACTCTCTGGGAAGCAGTATCTCCTTCTTTCAGTCTGTGGGCTTTTTAAAAAAGAGCCAGAAGCTTCAATGTTGGAGGCCGTGCTATGACAACGTCACTGCTGCTCCGTCCTCGCTGGGTCGACCCGTCCGTGATGTTCCTCTACGACAACGGCGGAGGTTCCGACGAAGTGAGCAAGAACATGGAGGGTTTTGCGGGTGGCAACTTTGCTGCGAACCAGTGCAGGAATCTGATGGCGCACCCCGCGTCCTTGGCACCCAGCGCGGCGGCGTACTCCTCCGGCGAGGTGCCCTCCTCCGCAATAGGAGAGCCGGTGAAGCAGTGCAGCCCCTGCTCTGCAGCCCAGAACTCATCCAGCGCCTCCCTGCCATATGGGTACTTCGGTAGCAGCTATTACCCGTGCAGAATGTCGCACCACAGCAGCATAAAGCCGTGCGCAGCGCAGCCTCCTTCTGCGTATGGAGAGAAATACATGGACACATCCGCCTCGGGCGACGACTTCGCCTCCCGGGCGAAGGAGTTTGCGTTTTACCCGACCTATTCCTCTGGCCCATATCAACCTGTGCCCAGTTACCTGGACGTGCCAGTGGTTCCGACTATCAGCGCGCCGTCAGAAGCCAGACACGAGTCCCTGCTGCCGATGGAGACGTACCAACCGTGGACTCTGGCCGCCAATGGCTGGAACGGGCAGGTCTACTGCTCCAAGGAGCAGCCGCAGCCCGGACACATGTGGAAGAGCTCCATGGCAGGTATGAGACACGAGACACGAGACAGGGTCCGGATCTGACAGGACGGTACTTGAACGCAGCATAGAAATAAATCATTTCACCCAGAATAAAAAACAAAAAAACAAACAAAAATATAATCCCACAGAGGTGGGATGACGTATTTGTAATTTATGTCAATAAAAAGCTACATTTAATAATATATTTTCACTTGACTTGTATTATTTTTTCTTAATTGTTATGGTTCTACTTGAAGGACAGTTACAAATGTGCGACTTTTCTACTATTTCTAAAAGCTGGAGTGTGATTTTTGAAACAGCCCAGAGCCACTTGTTGAAGAGAAGCCAGTTGACAGTTCCCATTCCCTCCTCCTCCCCTCTCCTTCCCTTCTCTCCTTCCCTCAGACTCTGTGCCCCACGGTGCGGGAGACTCGGCCTCTTACCGGCGTGGAAGGAAGAAGCGCGTGCCGTACACCAAGGTGCAACTGAAGGAACTGGAGCGCGAGTACGCCGTCAATAAATTTATCACCAAGGACAAAAGGAGGAGGATATCAGCTCAGACCAACCTGTCCGAGAGACAGGTCACCATATGGTTCCAGAACAGACGCGTAAAGGAGAAGAAAGTTGTCAACAAGTTGAAACCCATCAGCTGAGTTTCCTTCTTTCTTTTTTCTTTTTCTTTTTTTTACTTTTATCACGGACACTACTTGTGGGAGGACACACACACACACACACACACACGCTTGGACTCATGGTTTGGAATAACTCCTTCCTGACTGAACATGAATTATTCCCTCTGATGCCAAATGATTCTCCCAAACCTTCTGGAACATTATTCCTGGAGGGTGAGGGGGGGCTGCTGGCTGCTGGTCATTTGTTGTTGATACATTTTTGTCGAAGGAGTCCAATGGAAAGAGCAAAAATAATGACAATGTATGGTTTCAATGTGTGTGTGAGAGACACTACTGCCCCCCCCCCCCCCCCCCCCCCCCCCCTCCGCTGTGCCTCACCGAACTACGCCTTTATCTCCAACTTTAACGACAGTAAAGGAGATAGAGGCTCCGATCCACAAGAAGAGGCTTTGTCATGGATGATGACCTTGGGAATGTTAAATATTAATCCACTCCGCTTTTCTTTTCAAAGCTCTGCCCACTCGCTTTTTATTTGTTCTGTTTGTATGAAGTTTACTCGTGTCATACCGATCCGTCATTATCCGATTCCAAGGTGCAATTTTTATTCTAAGGCTCAGATAATCGTCCGGGATGATGACGTACGTGTCCACCGCAGTCCTGACCTTTCTAATGCATTCATGTGGTTGTATATAAATTCATAGATATAAAGTAAAACCCGGTATGATACCCAGGTTTAAACTGTATGTGTGTGAGTGGACTATGTCGGTGTTTGGAGTCCGATCCAATAAAAGGTGGACTTGGATGAATTTCTTTGGATATTTCCTAATCCCATCTTGACTAAAAAAAATGTGCAACTACCATACCTTATCGTTTAAAGGAGGCCCTGGTTTCTAGTGTTTTCAGTTTTCAACAATTTGAAGACAAATAGTGTTCAAACAGGAAGCTGGATTTTATTTAGAACAATCTTGCTCTAGATTTACGTGTAAGTATTAACGTGTATTCATTTTCTAGACCTCTGTTTGGCTCTGAAAGAAGAGGAAATAACTGACTGTCACTGGCCTGAGCCTGGAAAAATAAGCTCATATTGCCATCTAGCGGTCACTTTGGGGCATGAACTCAAGTCGATATAATGACTGTAATACATGTTATAATAATGATAATTATTATTGTTGAATTAGTTAAATATTTAATAATTGTTATTTGATAATTTGATAATAATTATTATTAAAATATGATGTAATAATGTTTACATGAAGCAAAGGTTGAAGAATTTGACATGAGTCATTATAAATATACAGAACAAAGTGAATATTTTAAAAATATTTTATTTAATAATAATGGAAAAATACACGTATGTACACTACACTTATTGAGGCGGTAACATTGCCAAAAAAAATAATAAAAAAAATCACAATCACCCCATTTGAGTATAAAAGCACTGAAAAACGAACTTTTATTTTGATATGTAATTTTATTTAATTATATATAAATTAACAACAGAATAAAAATGCATTTACATATATATATATGCATGCTGAAGTAAAAACAAACAAACAAACAAATAACAAAAAACTGCCCATGGTATCTTTTGAGAAACTTGCGGTTAAAAATATGTTCCCGAATTTTAAAGTGTTAATGTTAATTTTAACATTCAAGAATATTATAAAATCTATCTATAAAAACAACAACAGTTAATCCTACGTGAACCGTGCAGTTGGCGGTGCCGCCAAAATGTAATTCGAATTGAAGTCATTTTTATTTTACCTTTTACACAATACGTAATAAATAATATATAAAATCTTAAAATTGTGATTGATTATTGGTCGAGTATGATGAAGTAATTCGCATATTTATACGTGTCCATTTGAAATTGAATTGAAACGGAAAAGGCCTTCAGAGTTGAAAATATAACGAAAAATGTTTATGCCCGAAAAACCATAGCAAAAGAATTCAGTGTCATTTTTTTACAATGTGTTACACGTGTACCGATTTTTAAAATGTAGAATTTAAAGTATTTTTGGTTTGATTTGTCTACTTCTAAATATACAATTGTTCGTTATTGTTTTGTCACATTCATGTGGTCAGTAGTGTATATGCGCCTGGCTCAGTGTAAATAATGAAGTTTTTATTAAATTATAATTTTAAAAACTGTAAAAGTATGACTAATTATCCATAAGAAAACATGACTTTAACAAGATTGCTACCTTTAGATAACAAATAAACTCAGTTTAATAAGATTATTTACACATTTGTTGAATAAATACGACGTAAGCAGCCGTGAGCCAGTGAAACAGCATGTATTACTGGACATAATAAACGATGCTGCTATGCTAATATGTATTTTAAATTATTTCAGTTAGATATTTCGTAATATTAACAAAACGTATGTCGTTGTTTTTGCCAAATGATTGCATTATTGTTTTATATAGCGGTGTAATAACGCGTCACATTATCAGAGTGACTGAAGGCACTACAGCGACGGCGTGGACTAAAATAAATAAATAAATAAATACAAATAAATTAAATAAAAATACATTAAAGCATTTTTCGTAAAATGTTAGGAATATCCATAACTTTGCCCACACTCCCTACATAACACAAAACATATTATTTTGTAATTTTTGAGAAAACATTTTAGAATTGAATGCTGTTCATGATTGGGCAGTAATGACGTGTGTGTGTGTGTATGTGTGTATTTGTGCACAGGTTCTTCTCTGCTGCTAGTTTGTAACTATATGTAGTAATTGGATTACTATAGAATAGTATATAGTCATATAGTCATATACAGTGGGTATATTATATATGACTATACCAATAATCGGCCGATGAAGACATTCGTCTAAAACCAATAAGCAATAAGTGGATTATTGTTTTATTTTCTAAATAATCCAGACTTGACAAAGTGTAACAGTATTTAATTCTATCTCTTTTCACAATAAAACTACACTTCAGTCTTATCTGAACAGGCTGTGATAAAGAGTTCTTCCATATTGGCTCAATGTGCAGCCAGTGCTGTCGCAGCAAATTCTGATTGGCTGCATCAGGTGATACGATTCTGACCTGAAACCGAATCCGTCTGCAGAGACCCAGCATCTGCAGCTGACGGTGCAGAGCTCTTTTTGGTCTACGAGTCTACAGTCACATGTAGTGAGTAGCACAACACGCAGAGACTAAAGGTGACGTCAAAAGGAGAGATATGCTGTAAATACTGCGTATGAAACAGAGAATAAACAACAATGAGTTGTGTGTTATTAGATTTTCAGCTGTGAGTGACGTAAAATACAAACCTCCAATGTAGATTTGTTTCCAATATATTTAATGTGAATGTAAGTCCATACTTGTAATATATTTCACACGATACTATAAGACAATATAATATCCGTGCAAAAACACATTTCTACGAGAATAGACTATTATCAGTCTGAATCATGGAGTACGGCTACTCGGTTAAGTTGTTTGGTCGTTAATCCTTAGCCACAGTTAGTCAGTTGGTGGGTCCAACGTTAGAGAAAGACCTCAAAGGTCACGGTTTTTTCCACACGAATTTATTTAGTGTAGGCTACTTTCGAAGAAAATCGATCGAATTTTAAAAAGTTTAAATAAGAGTAATAGTCGATCATTGTCTGAACGAGACGTCCGTTTATGTAGAAGAGGACTAGCTTTTAGTTAATCAACTAATGTGACCGACAGTTCGATTGTCATAGGCCTGGTCCACTCATTATCACTGACTCTTGTAAGCCTTCTTCGTTACTTCTGGTTCGCCGTGATAACTTCCTACATGACGATAATGGCTTTCAATATAAGGTCCGTGTGAAAATATTCCATCTGTCACCAGATACATAATTATCATTGAAAATAAATGCATCTGATAGGGAGTATATTACAATAAAATAAGAAGAACAGTTAATCAGAATTATTACAATATTACGAAAATATTTTCAAGAAGGCCATAAGGATCTACTATTTTGCCCGAAACAGTTTCAAGTTTGTGAAACCTAAGATAAAGCTACAAGATAAAACCAGTGACTTAAAGCAAACGTAGGGATATAAGAGTATGAGATGATCTAACAAAACGTAGTCTTATACAGAAAAGACTTATTTAAAAAAAAGCATGACGATGGTACAAATGATTCACGCTAATATAAAGCCTAGATAAACAGTCAATTAAAATGTAACAAAAATAAAGTTAGTAACTTGGAATGTACAAAATAGACTGGAAATAATTCAGTCAAAATTATATAGACAACCCAATTTCTTAACTAAGAATGTGGCCATAGTACAAAAAATATATAATATATATAAAATATATATAATATATATAATGTATAATATAAAACTATTATAAATGTTGGGCAAAAATATTGAGGAAATATAAATACAAATCCAAAAGGATAATTAAAAACCAAACTAGTTCGCCCTTGACCTAACGTTAAAATAGCCCAAACACGTAATAAAATAACCACGTATTTGCCATGCAGCTGTTATTACAGACATAAACCTTCAAGCCAACAATATTGCAATCTATTGTAATTGAGCAAGTTAGCTTAAGCTACAAGCTAGGCCAGGGAATTATATAACGCCAGCTAAAAATATAACAAATATATTTTGTGTAAATTGTAAAATGGAGTTGTTCAACAATTCGGTTTAATATTCGACCCAAATAAACTCCAAACGAACCAAAACATTGAAATGTCTTTTAGTTCTTTATTTGTATACATAATCGTTAAAAATATGTCCCTAAAGTCATGTCCAAATTAACGATTATATCATGGTTGCTTGTAGTAATTTTATTTTAGTGTTCGTATTAAATAACCATGACGCTGGGTGCAGCAACTGGAACAACAAATAGTTTTATTTAATGTGCTGGAGGATAATGGCCACTGTATTTTCACAGCATATTTTCTTTTTGACTCATCAGCGTTCTTATTTTAGGCTCGTCGGCGACGTCAATGTTATGTATAAGTGAGGTCGGTTGTTTTGAAAAGGCGCACGTGACTACAATTTAATTAGCACGGAATGTCACGTGACGTGGAAAGCCCGTCGCCGAAGAAGAGCGAAAAGCATGGTCTCTGAGCAGTCAGTTTATCGCTGCGTCAGGGAGTAATAATAACAAAAAAAGCTTTAAAGCGGAAGTCGACTACCGTGACGCCAATGAAGGAGAAAGGGTGAGCGGAAATGGGGAAGGAAAGAGAAGGGAGGGCACAGACAGAAAATGTGAAACAGAACCAGAGACAGAGATAGAGAGAGAGAGAGAGAGAGAGAGAGAGGAGAGGGAGCGAACGATGGAGAGCAGCGTTTGATTGGTTGCTGGAAACCAAAACAAACCCACAAATCC